CCTCCCATTCAAAAAGATGCTTAAACTTAATAGCAAAATAAAAACAAATAACAAAAATGATACTGTATATAATAAAGAAAAGAAAAACATAGGATATTAAAAGGGAGCCAGAGTAAGATGTTAAAGGTCAAAATTTAGGTTTAAAATTCTACTAAATTCACTCTAAATTCACGACAAAAAAGGTAAGAGGAACAAACAGAAAGGAGGTGATTTTTGTTTCTTTGAAAATATCTTGAATTACATATAGTTATCCATATACGTTTACGTATACATAGAAACATGTGCAAATACATACATGTATATATGTACACACACACATACACACACACACACGCGCACACACACAAACACACACACACACACACACACACACACACACACACACACACACACACACACACCAGCAGCACCTACTCACCTACACACGCGTACGTATACATACATACAGTGCATACAGTATATACATACATGCATATCCTGATTTACACATACACAGGTAGAGGTATATATACATATATATATATATATATATATATATATATATATATATATATATATATATATATATACACACTTATGTATTTCATACGTGTATGTTTGTATGTATGTATGCATGTATGTATATGTGTATATACACACATGTGTGTATACATGTATGTATATGTATATACACATATGTATGTAAGTGTATATGTATGTCTGAATGTTTGTATGCATATATGTACTGTACGTATGCATACACACACACACACACACACACACACACACACACACACACACACACACACACACACACACACACACACGCACATACATACACACACACACACATAAATACGTACATATGTATACATACATACATACATACATGTAAATATATAGATATATGTATGTATATGTATTTAAATATATATACGCATGTATATATACTTATATATATACCCTCTCCCCTTCTCTCTCTCTCTCTAATATGTTACCTTTGATAATGGAACGACCGCTTTCCTATACTACTGGAGGAGGTGAATGGGATATCAGCCAAAAGGGGTGAAGAGATGGCGACTTGAACATGCAGACTGAAAGTCTTTTTGTATCAATTACAGTAATGCAGTTTTGTGAAGGATTTCCGATGTGTTCAGGATGATCACTTCACATTACGAATTCACCTTGCAGCAGAAGCATCCATTCCCAAAAGTAGCGGGCAGTACCGTCGACCTCCAACTAAGGCAGCTGAAACGACGCCCTAGCGATGTAACACTGTTCTATTATAAAAAAAAAAAGATCCGAGCCGAGGCCAGGCGACTGCTAAGCAAATCTAGACCAACGTCGTGGAAACAGTATGTCTCCTCAATTAACTCTATGTCTCCTCAACCCAGAAGATCCTGTTGGGCCTATTCAATAGGATCTTTAGGGAGGGCACAGTGCCATCCTCATGGAAAGAAGCTATAATCATTTCAAACCTGGCAAGGATGCTTCCACCCCGGGTAATTACAGACCAATTTCTCTCACCAGCTGCATCTGCAAGTCAATGGAGAAAATGATAAACTTCAGGTTGACATGGTTACTAAAAAAGGAAAACGAGCTAACCCCATATCAATATAGGTTTAGAAAATCGAGATCGACCACAGATGCACTTGTAAGGATGGAGACTGCTATACAGCATTCCTTTGCACAGCGACTTCACATATTAGCAGTCTTCTTGGACCTCGAAAAGGCTTACGATATTATTTGGAAGCATGGCATACTCATAAAGCATACTCATAAAGAAGAGCATTACCTACCTTCATGCTGATAGGAATTTTAGAGTACGGGTGAGAAACAGTGTCTCTAACCTGGAAGATCAGCTGGAAGGGGTCCCACAAGAGAGTGTGACCCTGTTTGCCATCACTATTAATGACATGGTAAAGGTTGTTCCAAGGTATGTCTCGTGTTGCTCTGGAGGAAGCTTGCAGGATGTGCAAGGACTCATGCAGACTGTAAGGCAGGTTGTGCATTGGGCAACATACCATTGCTTCATATTTTCTCTAAGCAAGATCATGACTATGCATTTCCACAAAAGATGAAAGCTCTGTCCCCTTTGTTTAGGAGCAAACCTACTGCATTTTGTTCAAGAGAAGTACATGGGTCTATTTTTTGAGTCAAGGCTTACATGGGTGCCTCATATCAAACAATTAAAGTTAAAACTAGAAAAGCACTTAGTATTTAATGGGTTCTTTTACACCTATATGCGGCTTTGCCAAGCGCTTATTCGTGAGGTTTATTCATCTGCAACTCCCACTGTTCTCTGGATGTTGGACCTTTTTCAATATACCAGGACTACACGAACCTTATTTACTACACGAGATCCGGGATCTCCCTACATCCATATTGGTTGTCAACCCCTTTAAGGATAGCCGATCCTATAGTAGGAGAATGAGGAATCTTGTAGAAGATCTCAATTTCAATCTCAATTTAAATCTCACCAAGGTTCAAGCTGTTGGACCTCCCCAATTCTAACCCTGGA